GGGGGTGGTAAGAAATCAAGATAAATTTTGTACTTATAATAACATTGGTAACGGTTCAGCATACAAAACACTAAGAGATAAGAATAATGTTCTACTTCCGACAACTTCTTTTTTCTTTTTGCAACAACACTTTTCGCGGCAACGGCATCGACAAGAAGATCACAAATTTCCAACGGTTTCGGCTAGAAAAGTCGTTGCGTTTAACGGCGAACGGCTGTTGAAACGGCAACGAAAAAGTGACCGTTCTTCCTCCAAACAACTACTGCTATACAGCTACTACAGTTTTGATGATTTTTAAACGAATTTATGCTCTGACAATATTCCAATAAAAGTTTTGCGTTTTATTGTAAATATTTTTGCTCTGAAAGGTATTGTAGAAAAATAATGCGTATACCTGATGTGCTATTTTGAATAATATTATATGGTCAGCTGAATGGTTTTATAAATGATTGGCAACAGAACGGCTTTATGCCAACAGCCAATGTTGTTTTTTTGTGTGGCGCTGACAGTTAAAACTTGCTCATTCAAACAGTTTCAGCTAAGTTGGAAATGACGACTAACAAACAGCTATTTGTGATGTGTTCAAACGAGTTAATCTTGCTGTTAAATATAAGCAACCTGTGTGGTGAGAGACTTTACTATTGTCCAAAAACATGTCTGCCAGTTTCTTTTGTGTATTTTTATAAAAAAGTTATACACTACCAACGTCGTCATCGTAATCGTAATTTGTAATATTATTATATCTATTTTGTTTTTGGTTAGACGTCGACGGTGAAGTTGTCATTTGCCAGTTTTTTTTTAAATACTGTATTTGATTGGTAATTGGAAGATGAACACGGTTTGCACTTAAAGGAGTGTTTAATAGAAACTTTTTTTCAATTTCGGATTTCCGGGAAATATGTTAGGAGAAACAGTTTTTTGTATGTTGTTCTGAAGTCACTTTTCTGTTATATTTGAAATTGCTTATTGTTAACGAAAAAATTGCGTTTTATATTTTTCAAAACTTCGTAAATTGGTTTTATCGACTAAAATTACGGTAGTGCAGTTTTCTTTTTTTTTACCACTGACCAGTCATACATGTTTTGAGCACGTCACGTAATTTAGCGGTACGACAGTCAACTTGGTGAATTGTGTTTTTCTCGTATTATACGCTTTAAATTAGATGGCTAATAAAGTGCTAAATGTTTGCCTGAATTTGATTTTTTTTTTCTTGCAGCGTACTCAGGCGGCATGGGAAACAATAGCTCTTTGATGCTGCAAGAAGATGAAATTGCTACAATTTCGTGTGAAACGGGATGTATGCTTTGATTTCCTTGAAAACAATTTATTTGCAGATTTTTGATTATCCCTTAAAGTAGATGTTGAGTTAGCTTAATAGATGTTTAGAATGAAGGCAGTTTTTTTTTTGGGACTTTATTTGAGTAAAGAAGTGTATAAGAATCTATATTTTCTGTTTCATTGCAGTTTCGCGCAACCAGATTGTTCGTCTGTACAGCCGGTTTTTGTCATTGGATAAGCAAGGTGCAGTATTGTCTTCTTCCATGAGCATATCTCTAAATTTGTTTCCTGTAATAGCGTTAAGTTGGTATTTTTAAGCGAATCAGTTACTTGTTATATCAAAATTTAGATTAACTGGATTTGAAAGCTGTGGTCTTTTGGGCTAGCCGTCTAGGATTATGCTGAGATTAGTCATGGTTTTCTAATTTTTTTACTTCTGTTGTCTTCGGAAAACAATTATTTTTCTTTGTAATTTAGGTCGCGGATACTTGGACAGAGACGACTTTTTCCGAATTCCAGAACTAGCCATCAACCCTTTGGGTGACCGGATAGTAGACGCGTTTTTCACTGAGACGTGAGTGAAAGTCTTCTAATGTTGTTGATATGGGTCGCTTGGTGATAACTTGTAAGGCCTTGTTTACTGCCTAAGCATTCGTTAATTACTAACATAAGCTTTTGCTCGTTTTTGCATGCGACAGTTTCAGCTTAATTCGAGTCCTAATTTTTTTTTAATGCTGGATTTAATCACCACTAAATTTGTCTGTTCTTAATGAGAAAGCTAAGTTGTTTTTCACTGTAGTATTGAAATGAAAGGTTTATCAGCAATTTTTTTTTTTTTTTTGAAATTTAATCAAGCCATTTTGAACTGCAAGGATTATGTGTTAACCCGGTTAGCTATGGTATCCATATCTGTGCCATTTCTCATCAGCTTGTTCAATCTGACATTAGTTTTTTTTTTTAGTGACGATGTCGATCAGAAAATTAATTTCCGTGAGTTTATTCGCGTATTGGCTCACTTCAGACCTATTAACAAAGCCAGCGATGGGAAGCTCAACAGTCGGGATGAGAAATTAAAATGTAAGGTTTCTTTTATCACTTCTTTTACAATATTGTAAATTATCATTTCATTTTTCTGTGGGACAATGCACACGATTTTGAACCAGTTTTAGCATATGTTTATGAAACCACAGTACCGTCAGAGATTTTATTTTATTCGAATGAAATTGTTTGGCTTAGAAAAGATGGTTTTAAAATTAGATCTAGATTGTTTGGGAAAGCTGCCATCGGATTTGCGTACTGTAACTGCCGCTTTTTCAGTTGCTTTCACAATGTATGATTTGAACAAAAATGGATTCATAACAAGAGATGAATTCAAAGTAATATTGGATATGATGGTGGGGGCTAATATAACCCCTGAACAGGTACTGTTGGAAGTTCAGTAGCTTCTTAGTTTGGTTGACGAGTAGAAGATTTCTCGTTTTACATCTTTGTGAGGCCCATTTTATTTTTTCTTTGAATTCTAGCTCGAGAACATTGCTGACAGGACGATAACGGAAGCCGATTTAGACCACGACGGGAAGATTTCATTTGAAGAGTTTTGTAGAGTGAGTTTGGGATTATGAGTTTTCGTTTCCTTGCACATATTTTTTAAAAGTGTAGGTTCCCCTTTCAATTTAATTATGAATCCTCGTCAGCTCAGCAGCTTGTTGGATTCAATTTTGTGAAGTTTTTAGGCAATGGAAAAGACTGATATTGAGCAAAAAATGTCGATACGATTCTTGAACTGAATGACTGCTTTAACCGGTATTGCGCAGGTTCTCAACGACAAAGAAAGTTGCCTTTGTGATACCCAGATATTACGGGAGATTTCAAATTTTGGAACTGTTGTAATCCCACCACAATGGTTGCACTTTCCATTACCATCAGGGTCACTGCCTAAGGGATACGCTCTTGAGTGAGACCAAGTTATACTTACTTTTCTAGTGAATAAGATACCTTTGCGGGATTCTGGTGGACTGTGCATTATTTAAGTTCCCCAAACTATTGTCGAATAGACGTCTTGAGGCCTCATTTAATACATTTCAGTGCCTCTTTATTAGGGAGTAATTTGAATTTCAGTTAGCGGAGTAGTGTTTCAGTCTTATTAATGTCTTTCTATTTTACAAAGCTAGAATCTCTATTTCAAATATAATTTGGATGCATCTTACTCTGTTCCGTCATGTCCGTAACCAGCAGCAGTATTTTGCTGCAGGGCTGCCATACTACGCATAATAAAACCACTTCCAATACTTTGGAAGTTGCATAATTAACCTTGACTCAATGATATGCAGACTTACATATACACACGGTCTCGGTAATAGCTAATACTTCTTATTCGTATATCCGACCTATAGTTAGAACCGTATTTTAAGTAAACAGATGCAGCTGAATACATGTTTATTAGAAGTGACATTTTGCATCGGAGATCACTTTGTTTTTTTGCCATTTCAGCACGCGTTTGATACTTGTCCCCGAAGTACGGTTCGAGAACACCGTTTCTAATACGGCTTAACTAGTGTTGTGTAGGAGACTTGGCTTTTAAGTATATATTTTGAAACGGTAGATCGTGGAACATGCAAATGGGCAGGAACTCTGGCATTCTCTTTGAAATATTTCAGAAAAAGTGGTTTTGCAATAAGTTCTTCAGTGTTTTGATCACATCGCATTTTCTCCCGTGTTGACGCGACCGATTGCATGTCCCAGGTCTCCTGAAAGCGTGGATTTACAGAAATTAATTTTTCAAGTAAAATGATTTGAAATGACCGTATGGTTAGTTGTATAAGCATAGGGAAACCTCATCAGAGGCAAATATCGTCTGCATAGCTTACGACTGAGGTCATGCTACATAACTAAATCTTTAGTCACATAAAGTTACTAGGTTTACATGTAGTGTTTGATGAGTACATTGTTCTGTCAGTAAATATTTGGACTTTGAGACTGTTTATGCACAACAGCTTATGAGATCTATAATGCGTCAACCTTACTTTCATCAAACTGAAAATTAGCGTGTACTAAAAAAAATGAAAGCCACTGCTCACTTGTCTTCAAAAAGTTTCTCTTCTTGGATAAAATAAAATTTTAAATCACCTGCTGCTAATAACTTTGATCGATCTTCAGAAATAAAAACTACTTTCTCAAATATATTGCAAACAGTTTCCCATCTGTAATATAAGAACTAGAAAAAAGCACAGAAGCAGTAGTTCCAGCAGTTACGTGGTGAACCAATGAACCATGCAGGCGTTCTATTTATTGCCTGAAAGAAACAAATTTCTTAGTAAATTTCACTAGCCATACTTCTCCCTCAAATGACATTGTTAAGCACCTTGCACAGTGCGGTAGAAGAAATAACAATAAACTTCTGCGCAAATCAAAGCATACGTTGATTGCTGGAAACGTTAACTTACAAAGAATGTGCAGCACCTCAGTGTACCCATGCCACCCGATCCGTCATAATTTTCTTTTCCACACTAAAAAACAGGTTACATGACAAAAAATTGGTGACTTCCCTACACTGAAAACCAGTTAAGACTTACGCTATGGTCACAGATAAAACATGGAAAACTACCTTTTAGGAATGCAACGATGTTTTGGAGTGCTCATTCTGTTCAGGAAGTTTTTTAGATCTTCCCCTTTCAAGCACTTCTCGCTGATCTTCGGAGCGACAACAGTACTTCCTTTTATCAAAGAAGCCGGCAGTTTTCTATTGAAGCTTCTAAAATCCATATTAAAGAAATAATTCCCTCGCAACTTTCTTTGAATAATGAGATCGCAATAACAGTTTAAAGTAAAAGGCTATTGATTAGTGTGAAAGAAAAAGCTATGTCGACCACGGTCGTCGTTGTTTACGGTAATTTGATATTAACTCATACTGGAGGGTCTATACGAGATGTTCAGCCGGACAGCTCTTTGTCTAACTTCTGATCACCGGCAGGCCGAGTAACTGATACTTAGTCTCCTACTGTTTATTAAATATTGCTGACTCCAAACTCGTGAAGCATCAGCACATTTATCTTGACAATGAAGTACTTTTAACCTCTGGCGACGAGGACTTCAAAGAGGCATGTATGGTTAAGGAAATACTAAAGTCGCCTCAATGAGTTGTACGGTAACTAGTAGTTTCTCTTTAAAACAGCACCACTGCAAGAAACACAAGGCATAAAGGAGCGAAGTTGGAGACAGTTGCTATCTTATAGTTTCAAATCTTTAACTTTAGCATCAAAAAACTGCGTTCTCATCAATGAGTGGAAAGGAGGTGTTTCCAAGTATCCCAAAACATGGTAGTACTGCCAAACATTTAAGTAAAAAATCCGTACTTTGTGCTTACTCTACGAAATACGAACTGAACAAGTTACAACAACTTCTATGACGACAACTCTAGTTCTCCCCCTATCCTTTGCTCCAGAATCTCCTCTTAGCAGCAAATCTTCAGCTAGTTCTACAACAACCATCTCTACTTTTTGATATAAACTTACGGCTACATTCATGAAAGTATTCACTCTGCAATGTATTTTCTTCTAAAAAGGCTCCAACTTAAATTTGTTTCACCCACCAAATTTTACCTGCGGAAATGACCGAAAAAAACTTCTGAAGTCGTAATTAAAGTTATACTTGACCATTAACCCAGGCTCAGTCAGATTTCTTGTCCTAGCCACAAAGAATTTTTTAAAAACCAGTTCAATCACATGATTTACTGCAACGTATCGTTTTCTCGCCTCAGTGCATTCCCTAGTTCTAAACTTCCAGCTGTTGCATTTACGAGTAAAAAGTCAAGGTTATTGCATACCGATCTGAAATCGTTATCATTTAGAAAAAGAGTTGGTTGAGGAAGTGGAAAAATGCAGTGATCGGATTTTAACCAGCTTTGTGTTTTAACAAACTTCATTGCTTCAACCTTACCAATGGTTTTTTGCATGGCTGTTCATCGTTGTCTTTAGCTCAAAGAATTTCCTGAAAATTGCTTAGAAAACACTCCTCTAAAACGACTGCAATCGCTGCTAGATTGCTTAACTCATTTCATAACTCCGTCCTGCATCAGTGGTAAGGTTGTAAAGGAAAAGTATCCAAGAATTTGTTATTTACAAACTTAATTCAGATGAATAACCTTTCAAGGAACGGATAAAAAGGAATTAACTGTAAAGCTTTCTGTTCTAAGTGATATAACTTTCTACGACGATTTTTATACCTGTCAGCAACATTACTGTGATAGGCTGTATATGATACCTAATTTATAGCCCCATCGCATTTTTTCTTCCCTTGTCTTATAAAATCAATAAAGTAAAGGAATTGAAACGATAGAATTGAAATAATCACAGTTTAAACGCTGCAAATGCATACGTTACCTACTGGTACGGCGAATCAATGGGTGGTATTTCTTTTCAGGTGCCATATATTTCGGAATACTTAGACGTTTGAAAAGACTTTCTGTTCGTTCCCTAAACTTTATTTACTTTTAAAAAGTATATAGTGTTTGAAAGTACTTTAATTTCCGAGCTGTTTGTTGCTTATTTTTTCCAACTAAAACTCTACAAAAACAGCTGTTTTACATCTGGTAGTCCGGAAAGTTAGTGCTTTCCTTTGACATTAATAATTAAACCAAATTTAGATGGCTTAACCCTTCTGGACTTCTTAAGTGAATTTTTCCCTAGCAAGAATTGTTTCTGTTGTTTTTCAAAAACAAACCTGAAACTGCCACTGAATACTGTTTGCACGATAAGGATAAAATGCAGTTTTCCTCACTTTTTGTTAAAAAGACGCAAGTGTCTGTCACTGACAAAAACTGATTGTCTAATTAAAACTCTCCTACAACCCCATAAACAAATTTTGAATCATCAATACAGAATTTGGTCAAAATTGAGAATCCGACTAGAAAAAGAAACAACTAATATTCCAAATTTCTTATATTTTTTTGCCAGTAAAAAATACCATTTCTTCTTTTTATTTGTATCCGGGTCCACATCTAGTAACTTTTCAAGTGCTCCAATTTTTTCTGAGCTAAGCTGGAAAGCTTCCACTGTTTTTTTATCAACTGAAAGCTTTTTTCCTGAAACGTCTCCTCCTTTAAGTCGCTCTGGCACAAATTCTTGAACCCTAAACGAAACAATTAACTTCAACCGGACCAGAAATCTTCAAGAGCTTAGTTGAAAATTACATTTATACCTGCTTACTACGTCAATAAAAACTATAAGACTAAAGATCCTTATAAAGCCTTTTGAATAAGATATAACAGACTACGTTTACCGAATTACTCCATATCTTCAACCCTTACCAATAAAGACATGAGAACTTTTACGGATTTCAAGCGAAATTAATGAAAGCTCATCAGCATCTCAAAACACAAGCTAATGATATGAAACTTTACTCGGGTACTGGATATTGCACAATATCTTTTAAATGGTTTTGCGCAGCATCTGCTTTGACAGAAGTGGACAACGTTTGAGTTCCTTTCTTTGTTCTTCCTCTGATTTTTTTTGGCATCGTACTTTTTACTTTAGCTGCTTTTTGGCTGAAATAAGAAGTTATTGTTTTATACCACGTAGTAAATGAAGATTGGTACAAATGAAACCTGGCGATACTCCTCCATTACTAATCCCTGAAGTACGAAGGTCAAATTAAGCCTATGACGAATCAACTAATAAAAAGAACAAGAGAGAGATAGTGCACAGAAGACTTGCAGTTCTTTACCATTCAAAACACACATTTGGAATTCGGAGGTGCTAAAATCCCCCCGTTGTTTAACAGAGAGAGTCAATGATAACCTTGATAAGCTACTAGTTTCTACGTCTTGAACGCTGTCATCCCTTTCCACAGTGACGCTTTGCTTATCTGTAGATCGTTCATCCATTGTATCTAACTGGTTTTTCCTACTTAGACTGGACTCTTTCCTGAGATACCGTTTTTCAGTTACTTCTGATTTAGATCGTTCAACTTCGTTCCTAAAAAGGTATAATTTAATTAACAATTTGAAGTGTTACAGTGAAAAAAACATCTCCTAAAGATTTCACATTGCCTTTGGTATGAATTAAAATTGTAGCACTCGAAATGCGAAAAGTGATATAAAAATCTTTGGACTCAAAAGCGTGAAAATTAATCGAACTTTTTTTCTGCGGATGATGTAACCTTCGAAGTCGCCAAATTAGCTATAAAAAATAACTTTGTTTGTGGAAACAAAGGAAATGAAAAGGTCGCTGGTGAGACATTGCAGAAAACTAATAAGCATATTTCAACAGGTCATTTTATTATGGAATAAACGTAATAAATTCATTTATAATACATGGAGCGAAATCAAACTGATAAGGAAGAGAGCAACCTTCACCACTTCTTTTGGCGATCGACTTTCGTAGAGTGGAGTTACGCTTCGACGTTTGTCGAGCTTGGTTAGGAGAACGCGACTTTGCAGCAACCATTGTTCTGAAAATCAACATCGTCAACCAAAAACAGAGAGTGTAAACGTTAAAAATTTTAGAGAATTTTCTTTTCAATCAATCTTCCTCTAAAATTGAACAAAGATGGGTCTTCGTTCGTTATACGGTGCTGCTTATTCTCTTAACTGGTTAATGCTCTATGATGGAAAAATGATGGACAATAAATATTGTTACTTAAAAATTAAAATTTGTATAAAAAGAAATGCTCTTTTAAAACTTTAAAAACCCTGTTTTTTCGAGAAGTTGAAGGTGCCAACCGCACCTGCTCGACCAAAGATTCAAAATGCATCAGAATCAACTGATTTGTGTTTGGAAAAGTAAAACACTGCAAACAAGAAAGAAAAAAAAAAAAATCAGAAGTGGTACTTGGAAACATTACGTACTCTACATCTTGAATAATATGGTTTGAACGGATGGTGAACCATACAAAAAGTATTTTTTGTAGAGAAGTCTTTAAGGGATGCTTCAGAACATTATGATTTCTTCAGATAAACAGTTTCATTGTTTTCAAGTGCTCACAGTGTGACAAAAAAACGTACGAGATACAGCTGAAATATGCTCAAAAGCCATAACTCAGTACTTGCTGCTAAGTTACTATGGAGTTTTCTGAGAACCAAAGTTGCAAATAACCGTAATTCTGTTACAGTTCATTTCACTAGAAACAGTTGAAAAGATATAAACACTGAACTCTTAAGCGACTTTATTATTTTTATATTTTCAATTTTTTGGTAAAATTACCAAAATGAAATTTTATTATTTACGTACAGTTGAACAGAATTAGCAATATCGCAAATATTATCAAAACAATTTTCCATTTGCTGCCAGTTATGAAGGAGTGTAAATTGTAGTACACTAATATGCAGTCTAAAAGACCAAGCTCTTTCTCTTCCTAGGAATTCTGATACTCTGTAATACGGGTCTGGCATGACGTAAAATGTGTTACAGAAAAAACTACTGGAGTTTAACTAAGGTTTAAATGCTAAGTTAACAGCTTTTTCCCAATTCTCGCACTTATAAGTAGAACTCAATTCGTAAGAATTAAGAAGCCATTTCTAGGAACACAATCCAGTATTTCTTATTCTTATTCATTCTTTGAATTATACTGGCTTCTGTTCTATAAGTCCCCAGACTTTGTAACAAAGCCTTAGCAGCCAATAACCACCACCAAAAAAAAAAAAAGCACACAGTGGTGTAGTTAGTTCGCCTTAAATTTTCAAGAACAGTTGCTGAGATCATAATCCGGAAACAAAACCAAAATCAAGTTTAATTTGTCCTATAGAATGATAGCAAAATTGCAATTCCTCTTCAAATGAATTTTGAAATTTGCTGGAAAACCTGTATTCAGGAGATGTCAGACTGTTCATATAGCGCGGGCAACAGTAAAACCGCTCCTGACGGAAACCCTGGAAGGAGTTATGTGGATCCTTTTGGGCTTTACTTCATTCCTACCTTTCTTATGGCAATTCTTCACCGATTATCATAGTACAGTGTTCGTTAAATAGTTCAACCCTGATTGATACGTCCAGAAATCAAGTACGCTACTCCTCGTATGAGGTGCATATGTTAAACAGCGTCACAAGAGAACCATGACTGGTTGGACTATATTACAAATCATTCAAGGGAGTGTTAAACACTTTGAATTTTCCAGAACTATGATTATAATAAATGCAATTATGGTTACTTTCGCTGACTTTCTTCTCCGTTGTTCCTGAGTTCATCAAACGGGATTTATTTTACATCCAAGTACTAATCAGTTACTAAATAAACATTTAAACTCTTATGGATTTTCAATCCATCCAATAAGTTGTCTACTTAAAATCTCTTCTTGAAACAAGTTTCACATCATACCCGGAGCTCTTGTAGTCAGTCGATTGCTTTGAGCACTAATGAACACTGATATATTGCAAAAAAAAAAAATATTCTTATCAATGCCATATCGTCACGCCCTACGAACAAACCCCAAATTCTGAGAATCGCTGATTAAACTTAAACAACTGAAACTTATATTTGTCCCAGTCCGGATAGCCGGGCATATGACGTAAACAGTTCTCGAATCATCCCGCGATTCCTTGGTTTAGCATAATGTTTGTACGCACGGAGAGAGAGCGCTGTTTTCAGAACGGCAACTACTGTAAAGAATTTTAAATTTGAATGTGGTCTTGAAACGGCCAGAAGAAACGCGCGAACTTTATGATTTTGAAACGACTCTCAAAATTTGCTTTTACCGGCAGATTCCGATTTAAGAACTCCGGCCAATAGATCATGCTGGTTGGTTCCAATGGAGGGGTTTTTCGCGTTGTTGAATTACGTGGCTTTTATGATTTTAATAACTTCTGGTACTTGGTTGTACGCTTGCATTTGTGCGCCACTAATTGTCATTTTTAGTGTCTGTGTGCAAATGTTGCTCTTGAATTTGAGTTTGAAAATATCTAATTTACACTGCATACACACGTTACTTGAGTAACTTTTCAGTGACTTTAATTATAACAAAAAGAAGAAATGACTGAAGAAGATGTGTATGAAATTGATTCAGTGCCTAGATTTGCAAACTTCGGAGATAATGGTCAGCTGGCAAATGATACTATGGGAGACAAGTTTTTTGTACGTTTAAATATATATTTATATTTTTTTTCTGTCTTTAAATAATATCGTTGAGAGTTTTTAATGGAGCAGAGACTTATACGTGTTAAATACATGTGGCACTTTTACTGATGGTGGATTGTTCTCTTTGGGTTCTCAAAATTTTCTAGAGCATTTCTCAGTGATTCAATTTGTTTTAAAAAAATTTATATCGAAATGAGGAATTGGTTCGTTTATTTTTATCTTTCTTATGTCATATACACACCAACCGGGTCTTGAGAGAAGTACATGCAGGTAAGCGACACCTTGACATTGCAGTTGAATGACTAAACTAAAAATTTCAATTGAAATTCAATACTGGTTTTACGGCTGATAAAAATATTTCTTTTCAGGAAAGTACTGCATCACCGGGGGGTAGAGGAGGTAACGATCAGGTAGGATCAGATGGTTCAAATTCAAATAGGGCTTCTTCAAAACCGATGACGGAAATTAATAATACTGATATGCCAAAGAAAGTGATGGCTGACCGTAAGCTTTACCACTTGTCCTCTTTAACATGGTTTACTTGAAGTGTTTTTGGAGGCTACCTATCCCACTTCTCTGTTGACTTTTCAATTTTTGGTGCTTTCTCCTCTACTTCATTAAGCTTTGTAAAGAACTCCTTGCTTTTGTTATTTCTGATAGTTAGTCTTTTGTTTAAATTCTTCAGACAGGTTGCTGCTTTTCCATTATTAAAGTATTAACTTTTTTTTTTTGTTATCTGTTTGGATTTTAGAGGAACTTCTTTTTAAAAATGTTTTTTTGTTCTTTTCTTAGCTTTTCGCCTTGCCTATTTTTAAAAAATTGTTCAAATAACATTTCCATTATTAAAATAAATATGTAAAGCTCTTCTGTTTCAAGAAAAATTTTAAACTCAGTTCCGTACATTTGTTGTGCTGTGAAAAGTGTGAGAAAGATAATAGGTTTTTTAGTCAACTTTTTGGATTGCTTGAAGGTGTGGGCGCTAAAGTTAGATACTCATTAAAAGAGTTACTAGAAGCAATAGAGACTTTATAGTTGTTTGTTTGATCCGGTTTTTTGTTTTTTCTCATACCCTAGCTTTTCCACAATTTTGAAGATTATTCTGCTTTAGCTGAGGATGATGATCCTTTGGGGATTCGAAAACTTGCCATGTTTCGTCCACCAAGAAGAAGTCGTGACTTAATTCGGATGGCTCAACAAAAGGCAAAGGAAAACATGGAGGCAAAAACAGGTTTTGATATACTGTGTGATTTTTTCTTTACTTTTCTTGAGAAGCATAAAAGTTCAATCAAATAGAGTTAAACGTATGTTTTGTGTAAAAATTCTTTTATTCGGTTGCTGCGAGGATATGTTTGCTTAATTTCATTAAGAATGCAATGGTTTTGTCAAATAATTTTCAATCTTGAAATGTTGTAAAGGTAGAATTAATATTTTTCTCTCAGTGTATCAAAAATTAATAGAATTGTTTAATATTTTATTAGAATTTGAGCTTGCTCAAGGTTGTAAAGTCAGTTTTTGTTTGCTTCAGATATACAGAAGAACGCTGATAAGCACGAGAGTGGTTGCCTAGTAAGGAAGCTAGTCGTTGGCAACAAATTTATTCGTCCTCGCTCGGCTAGTGTTGACGCTGCGCAGGTTAGAGGGAGGATCGGAGCTACACCAGGTTTTTTAAGTTACTAGTCGTCGTACTGTTTCAAGATCAAAGTATTACGGAAGAGACATTTAATAAATGTCTCTTCCGTAATACTTTGATCTTGGCTTGGAAGTGAGATGTTGAATAAGTATTTTACGCATATTTTTTAGGGTCCTATGCTAATGCAGAGTTCAAAACGGGAATTCCAGTAGTACGTCGAGGCAGTATCGATGTTTCTCGTGCGCCAGTTAAGTCAAGGAGTGAAGGTTTTTTTGCATCTTGTGAAGCAAAGCCTCATAACATGGTCTTATTTTCCTTACAATCTTTTTAAGAAAAAAATGGCCAACTTTGTATTCCTCGAACAAGTCGCACAGTACCAACTCGTACGCATCATAGGTCTGCCAGTGTAGACTCTGCTGCTAGCCGTATAAAGATGACACCAGTTGGTAAGGGGATGCTCTTTCACTCTTTCATGCTTGATAGATTCCTAGTTTTTCAGTTTACTTCATTAGGTTTTTATTATTGGGGGCTATAACTTTTAGATGTTAATAACCGAGGGTTAGTAGCTTCAAAAGCAAGACTAGCTACAGGACCGAAAGGCTCAATTACACGGCGAGCAGGTCCTGTTTCAGCGGTTCCACCAGTTGTTTCAGTTCCCTCTAACTCGAAAGGAAAAACTTCGCAGTCCTCAAAGCATACAGAGTGTGCGGTTGACAAGTCAATCAGGAGATCCATTTTGCAAGTAATTTTTTATCATTACTTTTATTTTATGCAAGAATGTTTTAAACAAACCGTTCCAGGTCCCAAGTCGTAGTAGACCGTTAACAAGAGCTTTTGCCGCTAGAGTTGAGGCTTTAAGGCTCAAACGGGAGGACTTAGTTCCTGGTGATAATCCTTCTTCCTCAAAGCCTGAAACATCCAGGGAAGCTTACAAGCTTACTGGTAATTTTTTGAACCTTGAAACTCTATATTTTTATTATCTCTTCTAAATTGTATATTCTTCGAAATAAATGTTGTATTTGTTAGTTTTTTTGCTTATTCTTTTTCCTTAGGACGTATTGCGAGTGTTTGCAGTGAAGCGCAGTTCAGAAACGCAGTTAGAAGAAGACCAGCTGGTGGAGATTCCCTCGAAAGACCTATTAAGTCAGGTTGGTGTGGTTTTTAAAACTGGCCACTTTACGTAAAAAAATTTTTTAGACAAAGAGCCGGAGATGGCGACAGAAAAAGCAGTAGCACCTTTAAGTAATAAAAATGCTCGCAGGAGCACAGTCACGCAGCACTACGTTCACCGTCCTTCACAGGCTACTATACCAGTGATTTTCCTTTGACATTTGTTTGCTTACCTTCAGTTTAATATTTCGAGAACAAAGTTTTCTCATTTCTGTTTGTTACAGAGCGAATGTTGTACTTAATTTCAGAGTAAAATGGCTACTTCAACAAGGCAGCATCCGTCTCCCCACACCACCGGTGCACGCCCAAGACTCATGCCCGCTGAACGTGAGGCGTTTTTCAGAAGACTGAGTACACCAAAATGTATTAATAATCTCAAAAAGCCGGAAGGTATGTTTTGAAGCTGTTATTTGAAGAACTCACCTCTACGAATACTGTGGGGTTTTTAAATAATGCTCTTCAAGAATTAGGGGCACCGGACGTTGCCAGAAATTGAGAATTAGTAAGTTAATGACAATGTTTTTTTTCTGGCCTGTCACAAAGGAAAGGGAATGGAGGGAGGGGGGAGAGAGAGGAGGGGTGCGGTGCTAAAACCAATAGTGAGTGCTTTGGATTTGGTCGTGCCTCCGTTATAAATCTTTCATTTCTGTCAAAATATGTTTAGCCTCTTGTGCTTGCCGCACTTCATCGTCCGCTCTGCCATTGTCGTCTTGCGTAATCGTAAGGGTAATGCAAAAGATTTACTATTTTTTAAATTTTCTAAATTTGGCATGCTTGCAGGTGAGACACCCAAGAAGACGTCAAAAGTATCAACAACGGGGCAAAAGTAAGTTTCTTATTTTGTCATTTAGTGCTTCCTTTTTTCAAAATCTTACCTTACTTTATTAATAAATTCCTGCTGCTTTTATAATTTATACGGCACTTGTTGCCGATTCGACTCTAAACGCTCTAGCGGCCTTTATTTAGTCGTGATGTTCCGCTTGGTGGGCTAAAAGCAAGGGTCCTTCGGCCTCGTACAACGGTGATTAAGGGTGCTGTAAAGGTCAAGGACTAATTAAGTAT